TCTGGAGTTACCCCTGGAGCTATCTGGGCACTTGCTGCCCTGGACATGCCCTAGAAGGCTCCTCTTATCTATTTGCTAGAAGTTAAAATGCCTGACATTCCTTTAAAGTTTAGGCTTCCTCCACCCCCCAGGACTCTAATACGGAGTAATGTGTTATGGATAAAAATGTCCATCTGCCAATAAACAGCTGCTGTTCTTCATAATTATTTAGTCTATAAATGGAAATATCGCCCCCTTACCTTCCCACGACCACAACTGCTTGACTCTGCCAGCAGCTGGGGTTAATTCCTGCAAGTGTCAATAGTTGAGGTAGTTACTAGATTAATATTTTGCTAGGGTTCACCCTACCCAGTAAGACTGCAGGCTCAGACTGGAATCCAAGGTACGGGCTCTGGCTATTATGACGCCCTTCCTAACATCCCTGAGCAGCATAGGAGTCTGGGCTCTGAGGTCTAACCAGCCCCACTGTTCCATTTCAGGCTGTGACAATTGCGATTGTATTTCTGCAGGTCCACCTGTATTGTTTCCTTACTATTTTTATTGCTCCTGCACACTCCTAATTTAACACCCTGCCTCCCTTTTCTTATTCTTTGTAAACTATATCTTTTGTAACAACAGTTGTTTCCTTGCATTAGCTATATGGACACAGAACAATATGAAGATGCCGTAAGGGATTATGAAAAGGTTTATCAGACAGAAAAAACAAAAGGTAAGAGCATCAGTGCTTTCTTTCTGCACTTTGGACCTGCCCCTAGATAGGGAGACCAATGTTTCTGCTTTGATTTTTTTTTTTTCTTGTAAGGCAGGAGCGCCGATAAACACTCTTAATTGCCATTGTACGCTCTGACCTGCTGCCCCTGATTCCAAAAGGATAATATTGGAAATATCCCCCGAAGCTCTCTGAAACACCTGCCTCATAGAAGCATGGGTGAGAGTTTCTCTCCCAATGTTGTGGGTGGTGGGGAGAAGTTGGTTTTGTGGTTCAAGGCACTAGACTGGGATTCAGAATCTCTGGGTTCAGTTCTGGTTCTGCCACAGGCTCTGCAGGTTACTGAGAGAAGATCATTTAATTGCTCTGTGCTACAGGTTCTCTGTCAGTGAAAAACATGCAATTATTCCTACAGGGGTACTGTGTGGTTAACTTATTGGTTGAAAGGCCCTCATGCTATGGCACCTGTATTTTTGTGAAGTATCACCCTGGCAGTGCTATAATGAACTACCCTTCATAGCAGTAGGGCCATAATACTGCATAGGGGAGCTACAGTGGCTTGGTACCAGGTCTTTAACTGTTTATGGTCTTGATATTTCCCCTCATTTAACAACCAGAAGTGTTGTGAGCAGTGCCTGGACCACCAGGCACCCAGCACAGGTGGAAATGAATGCAGCTGCTGAAAAAGCAGTTAGCATTGGATCACCTGGCAGTGGAATTCTTGAAGGAACAAAGAGGTGATGCCCAAATGCCAGTGACTTAAAGCTCCTTCAGAATCCTAGTCTTCAACATCCCTTCATGTTGGAGTGCTGTCTGAAGCGAGCAGGCTGAGCACATTCATTTTCCATCGTACTCAACAAAAAATGGCCTTGTCACCTTGTGGCATTGCCATACTATCAGAACCATTACATTGACTGTGTGGCTTCACTGCACCAAGGGTAAAGCAAGAGAATTGTGTGAGAATAAAGTTGAGTAGTTCAAGTCCAACATGAGCACTATTTTTGTCTGCTTTTGGCTCCTGAACCTATGGGGCATGTGTTTTCGTATAATGGCTAGTGACACTTAGACACCAGGGTGTGGGGATGTTAGTGGAAACATGAATCTTTACTGGGGATACTAAAATAAAATTAGCTTGTTTATTCTTTAACGGTGCTCTTCTGTTACTCAAGGGTGTACTTGATCTGATGTGCTCTCCTTCTGCACTGCTCTTCTTTCTAGAACACAAGCAGCTCCTAAAAAATGCACAGTTGGAACTGAAAAAAAGCAAAAGGAAAGACTACTATAAAATCCTTGGGGTGGATAAAAATGCTTCTGAAGATGAGATCAAGAAGGCCTACAGGAAACGGGCACTCATGCATCACCCAGGTACCCAGCAGCTGTACCCTGCTGTCACTGCAGCTCACTGCTTTGATTTTCAGAGAGCAGGGAACAAGTGGAAGAGAGAATTTCTGAACAAATAGTTTCTTTAATGATCTGAGTTCAAAAACACTCACTGAGTTGAACTGCCCAAGTCCTCTGGCCATTCAATGCTGTTAGTTCGTAAAAGCCTAGGGTTGCCTGGAATGTATTGTGTTTCACAACTCTGCTTGGTAGTAATTGAAAGCTTCTTTCCTACCCATCTCCATACCTTCAGACCGGCATAGTGGGGCAAGTGCAGAAGTGCAAAAAGAGGAGGAGAAAAAATTTAAAGAGGTTGGCGAGGCCTTCACCATTCTGTCCGATCCCAAGAAAAAGGCTCGCTATGACAGCGGGCAAGATCTGGAAGAGGATGGATTGAATATGGGAGGTAGGTATCTCCAAAGTGTTCAGCAAAGATGAGCTTTGAAAGGAAAGGACAGGTCAGATCAGCCTGCTCTTCTGGAGGGACTGTTCCTAATGCATGCAAAGCCTGCTGCCTTCAGTATCGCAACACAAGTCTGGGATGTTGGGGTCAGACACTGTTGGTATTTGGATGGGAAATCTCCAAGGCATGTTTCTGGGGTGGGGAACAGCCTTCCCTCTGATATTGGAGCACTGACTGACTAAGGTACTGGCTTCTTTGTAAATGGGTGCAGCTGCTGAAAGAACAGGACCCGAAGCCTATCCCAAGAGTAAATGGGTTGATTCAGTGGGTGCTGATGAATCCTGGCTCTAGACAGTACACTTGCCTGTACTGCTTGGGTAACTTCTCTTGGCTCCTGTTGTCTGTACTACCTCTCCTCACCTGTTCTGTAGTGCCTCTGTTTCATGTCTGGGTAAGGGGATAGAAAGGAGCCGTGTACACACTGCTTCTTTATCCATTTGCAAAGTGCTTTCTAGTCCTTTGTTTAGAATCCTGCAATAACATGAAGCAGCTTCTTGTCCTTTCATGTTTAACTTGGAACTTCCTCTTCTCCTGTGTAGATTTTGATGCAAACAATATCTTCAAGGCCTTCTTTGGTGGACCTGGTGGCTTCAGTTTTGAAGGTAGGTGGAAATGTAATTTGACTGGTTTTGGAATTATGCAAGCACTCCTGTCATGTCAGTCACATTAGGGTCCCTAGAATAGGTGTGCTGACTGAAAGGGATGTAATTTGATTTCCCTGCTGTCATGTATATCTGGTGACACAGAAGGCTTCATAGAATCATAGTACATAGTACGGCTTTGTACAGTGCACTGGCTGATGGCTGCTTCTGACACTTGTGTAGAAAAGGCTCCTGCCTCAAGTTGAGTGTGCAAGCTTTGCCTCTAATTGGTTCTGTGTCTCTAAGAATCAAGTTGACTGTTGCTTAGATACAGAATTGCTGTTGCTGTAGGTATGTATAGTTCTTAGTGTCTCCTTTTAATCATGTATGACTGGAGCAATTGCTCTTGTTTCAGAAGAGGGACATTTTTTGAGTTGGCCAGGGACAGCGGAAGTACTGCTATACTCTGAGAACCATCTCTTCTCCCAGGGTTTGGATGATGATGTATCAGTTTCCTAAGCCCCTGGGGACAAAGAAGACACTTATGCTGCTGAGGTTACTTTCAGCAGTTAACCAACATTAATACATCCTGTAGGAACATTTTGTGTGCTCCTGAGCTTTGGAGAGCCTCTCATGCCCTGTCTGCTGTTTGCTCTCACCCTCCTTGTCCTGCCTCTGGGCCAGGGGCAGGCAAAATTCAGCCTGCCAGGCCCAGGCCCCTAAAAAATATAGAAAATTCATATTTATCTGCTCCTGGCTGCCTGTCAAAGATGACAGGAGCCAGAGGCAGTAGGACCCAGGGGAAGCTGGCAGGGCTCAGTAGCAAAGCTAGCCCTCTCCAACACCACCCTCCCCCTCAAACTGTGAGCCTCTGCCTGCCAGGGCTTTCACTGCTTCCGTGCACACCACCTGGCTGCTCCGGCACCACATGGCCCCCAGCTGCATCGCTGGACCATGGGAGCACGTGGCCTGCTCTGTACCCGAGGGCCAGGAGTGAAAGGATGCATGTGTGTTGTTTTTGTGGTGGGGGGGGGGGGGTAATGTTCTAAATGTTTTTAGGGGCCCTGTGGGCTGGATAGAATGGCCTGGCGGGCTGAACCTGGCCCATGGGCCACATTTATCCTGCCCCTGGCCTAGAGGCAGGACCAGGAGGGTGAGAGCAAACACACCCATAGTCCCCCACAAAC